ATAGAATAGAATAGAATAGAATAGAATAGAATAGAATAGAATAGAATAGAATAGAATAGAATTTTATTATTTGTATGCCGCCCTTCTCCGGGAGGACTCAGGGCGGCGAACAATTCAAGGGGGGGAAAGGGGCTAATAATGGGTTTTTATCTTTTTGGGTGTTGATGACAAGAGGAACTGATGTAATTACTACTTAATACAATAGGACACTGGCTACGTAATAATATACATGTGATTGTATGTTATGAAAATGGAAAATAAAAAAAGTATTTGGAAAAAAAAAGACTTGTTTTTTTTTTAAACATCATTTTTTTTATTAACCAAAAATATTAACAAATCCGGTTGTATTCGTATACGCATCTTCACCACGTCAAAGCAACACAGATCTTGTCACATACACACGGTACCTGCTATAAATAACATTCTCGTTAGTCGCAGGTAGCTGTCAATTTTAAAAAATAATAATAATGATGATGATGAAAGAACAAAGCAAATATGTTAAGGTTTTCATAAATAGAGATCTCAGACCTGGTCAGATTAGCCTCTCAGACAAAATTGGGCCCTTCTGAAGAACGGAGTGAGAATTGGGGGGGTGAATCACAAATTAAAGTTTCACAGTTGTGCGTATCAATTGACCCAAAGAACGTGGGTTTCTTTAAAGGTTCAGTTCTTGCAGTTGAGTCCTTTAAACCTGGGGTCTCCAACCTTAGCCATTTGAAGACTAGTGGACTTCAACTCCCAGAATTCCTCAGCCAGCAAAGCTGGCTGAGGAATTCTGGGAGTTGAAGTCCACAAGTCTTCAAGTAGCCAAGGTTGGAGACCCCTGATTTAAACCATTCATTCAGAGAAAAATATTGCATTCCATATTCATCACGCAGTGCAATACCGAAATCAGGTACTAAAAGTGGTGCCATCTCAGGGTTCGTTTGGTGTTTTTTGCACACAAAAGTGTGTAAGCAACGGTGGCTCTGCCACATTCGAGAGCCCCCCATTCTTTTGCACACCATTCACAATCACACATGTGGGATCCACCTCCCCAATGGCCTGTAAGGTCAGCTTGCTGAGAGGCGGGGGGAGATCCAAGCATTGGCTCACTCATCCAAAGACCCCCAGTTCAAAAAAAAAACTACCTGCAGAGTGAGGGCGTGTCTCTCTGTCTGTCTGTCTGTCTGAAATACAGAAGTTGGGCTTTGCGGAACAAGGACTGAAATCATTAAGATTTCAACAATTGAAACAACTGAAATCAGTTAAGATTTCAAATGGCCTTAATTTTTAAAGCGAGGGGGTTCAAGGTGGCAACTTTGAAGATTTGTGGACTTCAACTCCCAGAATTCCCCAGCCAGCTTTTAACCTGATTCTTTTTTCTCTTACCACCTAAAGTGAGGAGCGATTGCAGAGGAAAGGATTGCAAGAGAGTAAGCAATGCCGGCTGGGGAATTCGGGCAGTTGAAGTCCACAGGGCTTATAGTTGCCAAAGATGGACCTCCCTGCTTTTAAAATTAAGGCCATTTGAAATCTATAACAGATACTCTTTAACACTGTTGTTAATTCTCCACCTGTCAAATGTGAATCTTCTTTTGGGGAACAAAACACCAAGAAATAACACATTTTCAGATCCATCTCGGATTGACACAAGAGAAAACGGTGCCAAGGTCGATTCTAGCAAAAGAAGATTGCAATTTGTGTCCTTTAATTGTGGAGATTCAGAATATTCTAATGGCTCAGAATACTGAGCCCAGCAGGATCGGAGAAAGAATCAGCTACGGAATTCAAACAACCGACAAACGGGCCTTCAACCGAGTCAGGACATATACAATCAATCATTGGACCAGCTCAATTAGTCTTAGCCTTAATTCATTTTGGGAGACTAAAGGGGTGGGGGTGGGGCTGGCCCCAATTTTTATACCAAGGAATACTTCACTTATTTTTTTTTGGGGGGGGGGATATGCAAAACTGATCTGCTTCTATTCCCACCTCTCTAAGACACCTTTGGGGAGAATAAAATATGTGCAGTTTTTCTGAAAGAAGAAAGAAAGAAAAAGAGAGAGAGAGAGAGAAAGAAAGAAAGAAAGAAAGAAAGAAAAAAGAAAGAAAAAACATAGAAAGGGAGGGAGAGAGAGAAAGAAAAAGAAGGAAAGATAGATAGATAGATAGATAGATAGAAAGAAAGAAAGAAAGAAAGAAAGAAAGAAAGAAAGAAAGAAAGAAAGAAAATTGTAGGCATTTCACCTTTTCTCCAGATAAGGCAAGTTCTTTCTCAGCCTTAGCAATTTTAAGTCCACATTTATCTCATTCACTATTTAGAGAATGGAAGGAAAGAATAAAGGAGGGAGGGAGGGAGGGAGGGAGGGAGGGAGGGAGGAAGGAAGGAAGGAAGGAAGGAAGGAAGGAAGGAAGGAAGGAAGGAAGGAAGGAAGGAAGGAAGGAAGGAAGGAAGGAAGGAAGGAGGAAGGAAGGAAAGATTTTGCTTAATTTTTCCTCCAGCCAGCCTTTCTTTTACTGGGTGTATAAGTCAAAATTTCCATTGGCAAATTTTGATTTACAACAGCATTTCTCAACCTTGAACGGCTTGAAGGTAGGTGGACTCCAACTCCCAGAATTCCATGCTGGCTGGGGAATTCTGGGAGTTGAAATCCACGGGCTGCCTTCAGACAGCAGCAAAGTGACCATTAACATCAACAGGAAGGCTGGCCTTCTTGGGGACTCTATGGGCCGGGGGGGGGGGGCAGGGAGGGTGGAATTAAAGATTGCAAAGAGCTCAAGAGGCCGCCAAGGGTTAGCCCCTTCCCCATTTTCAACCTTGAACCCCCCCTCCCCACCAATCCCACAACTGCACCGGGGGGGGGGGTTGTTTTGCCGCCAGTTTCCCAGCAATATGACTCCCAAGAATTTTTTTAGAAAGAGGGGATGGGGAGGTCCCTTGGTCTTTGCAGGCAGCCCCCTCCCCACCCATTTTTGCAATTCCAGAAAGCAAAGCCCCTCCCCACCCATTTCTGCAATGCCTCCAAGGTGACTCCTCTGAGACACACACACAACACACAACACACACCATCCATCTCCTGGCCAGCAGCCTGTCTCCATCAGCTGCGTTCAGAAACTCCTTTCGCCAGATTGGTAAACGCCCCGGCCTTTCGGACACACCTCAACCATGAAACTCGGCTTTGTAACTCCATCAATAATGTCCCTCTTTGTGCCCGGACTTCTCCGTCAGCCAGCCTGGCCCCCTTCGCAGGAGGAGGCCAGGAAGAGGAAGCATTTATCAGCTTGCGCCCATCAATCAGCGGCTGCCTTAAAGGGAGCTAAGGTTTATTTGCAGGAGGTGTGGCGGTGAAAGGGGGACAGAACGCTCGAAACTCTTTGTCCTGAAAACGGGGCAGGCCCGTTTGCGTCTGCGGGCCTCTTAACCACGTCGTTCTGGACCAAGCAGGGATCGGGGCCCCACCTGAGAAGCAGTCCAGTCACAGGTCCCAGAGTTTCACTCAACGACCAATGCAGCCATTACTGAATTCGACATAGCTGGGGATTCCACCAGAGCAACAGCTCTCGTTTCCACACTATCCCCGTGTCTAACAAATTTGTGGGAAAACTCAGGCCAAGAAGAGGAAAGATCTGTTAAATCTTTGGCCATAACTGATTCTCAGAAAGAGACAGACTAGAGTTAGGGGAAAATAGGGGCCTACGGCAGAATAATCTAGAACAGGGGTGTTTAAATATCAAAAGGACCGCAACTTGGTGCCTCTGCCAGTCAAAACGGGCCATGGGGGAGGTCATGGAAGCCGAAAACAAGGCATGGAGAAACCTCGTTTTGGCCAGCAGGGTGTTGCAAGAGGTGTCTGTCCTCTCCCCCACCCACCAACCCGTGAAGGAGAACTACAATTTTGATCCGGCCCTCGAAGAAATCCAGTTTGACACCCCTGACCGAGAATTTTTTACCAACGGAAGAGATTTAGCTACTGTACCTTATTTTTTGTCAACAAAACAAATGTAGCAAAGCATACAGACTGGGGGGGTCCTCAATCTACTGGGCCACAACCTGTATGGACCCGGGATGTTCAAGCGTCAGACAAGCATGTTTCTCCTTGCTCAAATGGAGCTGCTCACACGGAACCACACCCTTTCCCTCCTCGCCCACAGATTTTTTACATCAGCTTTGGAAACACACACATACATCTTCTCTCTCTCTCTCTCTTTCTCTTTCTTTCTCTCTCTCTCTCTCTCTCTCTCTCTCCTCCCTCCCCCCTCTCTTTCTCACTCACCCACACCCACACAGAGCTAGAAATAAATGTCTTAGCTTTAGGACCAGCCTCTAGCTGTAAAGCACATCACAAAAAACGGGCACAAATAAAGAAAGGTGTGATTTTGCTCAACTGCCCAATGTGGGGTAGTCATCCTTCATCACTCCCGGAATAGTCAATTCCCTTTCTGGCCATCAGCTCCCCATCTCTTTGAGTTTTTTTTTCCCCCTACATCCTTCAAAAGTCCCACAGGGGAACAAATAAAATATGGAAAAAAAAGACCTCCCCCCCCTCCCGCCACTTTTCCAATTATTTCAACAAACCCCTCCCCTCCCCTTCCAACACCATCGGTCATTGTCGTCCTGCTTTCTTTTCAACTTCATTAGAAAAGGGAGGTGGGGAAATTGGATATTTTTTTTCTCAGGATCTTTGGGGCTCCCGGGGATCTTCCTCTTTGGCCAAAATCGGGTGAGTTAAAGGATCTTGGCTTTCTGGGAGCAGGACAAATGTTTATGGACCAAATCCCACATGCTGAGCAGGTCAGCTGGTTGAAGTTTATGGACCACCAACATGCTTCTGTAGAAGCAAGGTTCGCGGTTCATTTTGCTGTTCTTGTTTTTCACCAGGCCAAAGGTTTTGAAGCCGGTGTGAGCCATGGGCGTCACGTTGAGGTCCTCCAGACACATCCCCAAGTAGACATCGTCGATGGGGTACAGCTCCCGGTTCTCGGAGGCTTTGTGGAGACGCTTGGCCAAGGGGCCGTCCATCACGAAGCCCCCTCCGCCCGCGTAGGGCGGGTAGTAGGTCTTGCTGTACAGAGAGTTGGGGATGTAGTATTTGTTTTCCTTCCTGCGAATGGGCCTCGCTTTGACCAGCACGTCGCCCACAAAGAGGTCCCCTTCTTCCTGATCCTGGAGAAACTCCAAGATGTTCTCAGGACTCATGAAGACATCATCGTCGCCCTTGAAGATGTACCGGACCTGGTCACAGTAGATGTTGAACCACTTGAGGAAATGGACTTCCTTCAAGGTGAGGTTGAAAAAGGTATCCAAGAAGTCCCACTGCAGGATGTCCCCGTAGATCCGATCCTCGTACTCCAAGAGCTTTTGGTAGTTGGACCTCTCTTCTTCTTTGGAGGCAATGCCCAGGAGGAAGAGGGTCTTGATTTTTTTCCCCTGCAACACACGCTCTTCGCCCCACGTCCTCCGGATGGCCTCTCGGCGGTCGTGTTGAGTGATGACCGACTTAACCACAATCAGCAGGTCGATCTCGCCGCGGCATTTCTCCGGGTGGTTGATGATGACGGGGAAGTAGCGACAGTGTCGGTAAAAGAGAAACTGTTGGAAGTGGGGCTCCAGGTTTCTGAACCACTCCTCCTTCGTGAAGTTCAGGTTGGCCGTGCAGTTGGTGGCGGTGACGTCCCAGGACGTCACCTCCTTCTCGGTGGCTACGACGGGCGGAGGAACCTCGCCCCCCTTTTTCCAGAAGTTGTTGGCGAGGGGCAGCACGTCGTTCCTCTTCTGCATTTTGAGCGGCTCTTGGGAGAGGACGGACTTCTGCGGCTGGTTCTGGAAGAATTGGTTGGGAACGCTGCCCTTTTGCAAGAGCGTCACGGTTACGATCAGGGCGAAGGAGAGAAAGACGCTCTTGTAGACGGTCTTCTTCCTGGAGGACAAACCGAGAGAAAAGAATCAAGGAAAAGGTCTACCCAAAACATCACTGCAAACGCAGGATCCAAGGGATGGAAGGGAGCTCAGAGGTCATCTAGTCCAACCCCCTGCTCAAGGCAGAAGACCATATTATAAGACCCCCTTCCCGCACGTGTACGTGGGGGTGGGGCACATGCGTGTGCACGCACGGGGGCATGAATTCGATTTTGGGGCTTCACACAGCGCCCCCGACTGGAACGAGGCCGTCCGGCTCTTCGCCACTAGCTGCACTTCCCTCCAGCCTTTGCCCAAAGCCTCCCACCAGGAGACCGAAGCAGACGCCAAGTGGGAATTTCTGCCCCCCTCCGACCCCTACAAAAAGGCCCCCAAGGGGGAGACTCTCTGCAGCAACACAAGCGTTCATTGCATGTATCCAACCCAGTTTGAGGACCCCTGATTGAGTGCAATGCAAAAAAGGGAAGGAAGGAGGGAAGGAAGGAGAGAAGGAGAGAAGAAAGGAGGGAAGGAAGGAGGGAATGTAGGAGAGAAGGAAGGGGGGAAGGAAGGAGGAAAGGAAGGGGGAAAGGAAGGAGAGAAGGAGAGAAGAAAGGAGGGAAGGAAAGAGGGAATGTAGGAGAGAAGGAAGGGGGGAAGGAAGGAGGAAAGGAAGGGGGAAAGGAAGGAGAGAAGGAGAGAAGAAAGGAGGGAAGGAAAGAGGGAATGTAGGAGAGAAGGAAGGGGGGAAGGAAGGGGGAAAGGAAGGAGAGAAGGAGAGAAGAAAGGAGGGAAGGAAGGAAGGAGGAAAGGAGAGAAGGAGGGAAGGAGAGAAGGAGGGAAGGGGGAAGGAGGGAGGGAAGGGGGAAGGAGGGAGGAAAGGAAGGAGGGAAGGAGAGAAGAAACGAGGGAAGGAAAGAGGGAGGGAGGGAAGAAGAAGTAGGACCGTTGTAAGATAAGATGGATCTATGGGATGGTAAGAAAGCAATCTTCAAGTATATTGTCAACTGTAGGGAAAAAATTGTTATAAATACATATTATTAATAACAGTTATGAGATTTTTTTTAAAAAGCACAAAATGCAATTAATTTTTCTGCGGACCACCGCAATTTTCTCACGGACCACCAGGTGGCAACCGCTGGACTATTCAATTTATTAAGTTTGTAGGCCGCCCTATTCCCGAGAGACTCAGGGAGGCTAGAAGACCTCCAAGGTCCCTTCGCATTCTGCCATTCTGTTACACCGATAAATGAAATGCAGCGTGGCAGGAGAAACCGACAGGCTACAAGGCCAACATCCCTGCTTTGCAAGCCCTGGCAGAATCTGTCTTCGGCTGCTGTGATTTGTGCCCTTCACCCAGCTGGCATCTTGCCCGAGCCGGTCCAATTTCCTCCCCGATTCCAACTCACTCCGCCATCAATTGCAAAGGGGTCGAAAAACAGTCAGGTTTCTGTTTGCAGACTGGGGCCTTTCCGCAAATAGAAGGGGGCCTGTTTCCAAGCAGGCAGCCCCCACCCCTCGCCACCCTCACCGTGCCCGGCAACAGGAAGGGGGAGGGGGGGAAACACACAGGGAAAGGGGTTTCCAGGTGCCCAACCAGATTGTGTAGGGAAGATTAGCAGGGGAAGCCAACGTAGCAAAGAGCATTTTCGCCTTTCATTCAGGAACACAGAATCGTAGGCCTGGAAGGGGCTCCGGAGGTCTTCTAGTCCAACCCCCTGCTCAAGCAGAAGGCCCTAGACCAGGGTTCCCCAGCTGGGGAATTCTGGGAGTTGTAGTCCACGAGTCTTAAAGTTCCCAAGTTTGGACACCCGTGCCCTACCATTATGCTATTTTTAAATAATGTTTCCCCCCCAAATTTTATCTCCAAAGTTAAAATACCAAATCCCAAAAGAGAAAGAAACACGAAACAATGCAAAGCCAGGAAAAAAATGCGCAGAGAGACCAAGTAACAAATAGAGATCTAGATTATCCCTCCAAGCTGAATATTGATAAATAGGCGGTATTTCAACACTACTGTTGAACCGTTATACAGGTAGTCCTCGACTTACAACAGTTCACTTTTAGTGACCACTAACTGATAACCCGACGCTGCATGGGTATTTATTTATAGGGGGAAAATGCCCGGACTGTACATAGTTTCTAATGTTGGATTTTCCCCCTTAACAGAGGGAGCCGCCTTGTGGAGTAGCGTGAAGCCGTTACCGTATCAACTGCACTGTGCTGTATAGTAGAAGCCATTTTACGGCAGTACAGTCAAATCCATTTGAAGGCACAACAGGCTGTATCTTAACAGAACACCCACAGCGAGGGGTTTTAGGGATGTCTTAACCCCCACAGTATTTGTTTCTGGAGGGTAAGTCATCTGTGTATCAAGTTTGGTTAAAATTGCTCAAGGCGTTCCAGAGTTATGTTGTAACACACACACACACACACACACACACACACACACACACACACACACACA